AAGGCAAGAATTCGAGTTGGAAATGGTATCATTAGATCTGCTAATACGTATGTAATAGATGTCATATTTCTAGTTCTATTATGGCCGAGATGAGATTGTGCCGGAGGAACAGCAAGGTAACGGTTTGGCTATGTTCACGTAGCAACATAAAGAGTGCATGCAGACCAATCGATTCTTGTTTTTGCGCGGCCAACAAATGCCAACCTACGGTTGGCAGGCATAAGGCCTAACCAAACGGGGCTGCAAGAGCCCAACAAAGCTATCGCTCTTATCGCTGGACCTGTCGGTAGACAAGAGCTGCTGCGCCAAATGCTCCGGAGGCAAAAAGGTCGGTTTGACAGACGTGAGCACCTTAAAATACCGCTTTTACTAGCGCTAGACTGTAGAAAGGTACAGATTGGGGCTGCAAGAGGTAGCTTCGCAATCCAACCTACAGTAGCTACAGCTAGCGGTAGCGGATTACAGGTCTCTATTCGAGCCTCCGTTTCTAAGACGTGTTGATCTGCCTCTGTTTTATGTGCTCGGTGATCAAGCAATCTGAGCATGGCAACTACTGCTTCTACTGGCTATGCTCTGCATATGAAGATCCAATTGCTCGTTTCACAACTTGATATTCTAACTGTTCTCTCTCATAGCATCTTAAGTTTGAGGGGGAGTGTGAAAAGAAAGTATATATTATCTACCATGTTAATATGGAAGGTGCATATTGTAATCTATATTTTTGGGAATGGTAGAAAGAATATCTTGGATTTATAGTAAGTCTGGGTATAGTATAGGATTTATTCTTTTTATTGTCATCTATAATTTGTCTATAAAAGACAAGTTTGTATATTTATATGTTCAATCGACATTGAGTCTCTTCAAAAAAACTTGAGACTTTTCACAAAAATAACATCTCATGACAAAGTTTGGAAGTGCACCTTACTAAACCACACCCGTTTAACTAAAGGCCACCAATTAAAAATAAGATGAAATTAATTCTTATAAGAAATAATAATGAAACTACCCTTTCGAATTATAAAAAGAATTTTGGCCATTTTATATATTTTTTTGACTGAATTTGGTCATTTTATTTTATTGTAATTAATTTTTCTTTTTCAACCGGTGGGCCATAATCCATACTCTCCGTCCTAAATCAAACAAAATTTATTTATGAAAAAAAACTCAAATTGAAAAGTCCTATATTCTCCCCACTATCCAACGTTTAATCACATTTGCATAACTATTTTAGGATAGGAATTGAGCTTGGGTCAAGACGGTAGAGGCTGGATTTTCACAGTACAATATCTCAAATTTCATTCCTATTTAACTTTGTCAAAAAAAATATAACTTTAGGATATTTGATCGAAGGTGCAAAGCCAAAACAAAACAAAATAAAATTCGTCTTGAAACCCTACATGACTTGATAACTCTTAGTATTTGTACGCCTGCAATTAAAAAACAACTTTAGGATATTTGATCGAAGATGCAAAGCCAAAACAAAAACAAAATAAAATTCGCCTTGAAACCGTACATGACTTGATAACTCTTAGTATTTGTACGCCTGCAATCCTTCTCGACTGACCTCAAAATCAACCGGAAAAGTTAAGAAACTGGAAAAGTTAAGAAGCTCTTATAAATTTTTCATAAAAAGATTTAAAAACAGTTTCTTATTTTGAATGAGATTATAAATTTTTCATAAAGAGACTTAAAAAAGAAACAGTCTCTTATTTTGAATGAGATACATTTCATTTTCTCTTATTTTGAATGAGATTATAAATTTTTCATAAAAAGATTTAAAAAAGAAAACAGTTTCTTATTTTGAATGAGATACATTTCATTTTCTCATAGCCAATTTTTTTTTTTTGAAGGAGTTTAAGACTTTATTCCCCATAACCAAAAACTTTGATCTGGATTAGGTTGAAGAACCCCCATTTTTTCCTCATAGAAAGATCAAAACACCCCTGTACTATATTTCCACCCTAAGAAGAACAACGAAAGGAAAATTTATATAATATATTAACTATCTGCCCCAAAAAAATCTACGTTTTGATTTGATTCCAAAACGCATATCAAAATACAAATGATTTTAACTTCCAAAAAGAAAAATTGCAGTCAGGCGTACCACGTCATGTGCGCCCTGAAGCCGGGCACCCATGAGCTGCGGCATGCACCCTGATGCGCATAATGCAGGAGGCACTCGCATTTGATACCACTGCTCTGAACCCACTGAAATCTCCTGAGCTAGTGAAGATCGAAATGGAATGCAAGATCACTGTACGATCGAAATGCACATGACCGACCTACATTCTGCCATTTCTCGAAGAACTTTCTTAATGTGAAACAGAAAAACCCAATCACAGAGGCTCCCAATTACCAATGATGTGTGTAAATTCCCAAGAACGAAATGAGAAATTGAGAGGTATTCACTTGCGGGAGATTGAATGAGCTTCCAGATGTGAAAGGAAAGTATCTCTTGTGCATAAGGTTAATATGAAAAGTATATATTGAAGGGTTAGTAGAGCATGTACTTTATGGTAAGTCAAAGTATAGTATAAAAATCAGTGATTTATTTTTATATTTTCTGATCTGTAATTTGTTTATAAAAGATAAATCTGTATATTCATGTGATTAAGGGACACTCAGATAAATTTGAGACTCTTCACACAGGGTATCAAAGTTTCATCTTAATATTGTTCATTCCTCAGTGAGGTTCATCTTAGTTGTGTCCATTCCTCGTCCCTGAAGTATTGTTGATAATTTTCAAGACGAGTCTCTTGCTCACCTAGACGGTGCAACTTCTGTCGAGTCGTATTTCGACTTTCTGTTGAGTCATGTTTCGACTCTCTGATTTGTCCTCTCTACCACGTCGTGTTTCGGATCTCTGATTTGTCCTTATGTCGAGTCGTGTTTCAATACTCTGATTTGTTTGATCTTTCCAAAAGTTCCTGAAGTGATATGTTCTTGAGGCTTGTTGATCAACCGCTGCTTTATGTACTTGTTGATCAAGCAATCTAAGCGTAACAACCTCTGTTTCTTCTAATCATGCTACGCACTTGAAGATCCAACTGCACGATCCGCATCTTAATATTCAAACTCCAACTACTCTCTCGTTACATCTTGAGTTTCAGAAGGAGTGTAAAAGAAACTATTTCTTATATATCTAGTTAAGATGGAAAATATATATTGCAATCAATATATATGAAAAAAGTTAATCGAATATTTGTACTTTATGGTAAGTATATGTATAGTTTTAAGTTTATGTGATTTAGTTTCTGCTATTGTCATCTTGAATTTGTCCAGAAAAAACAAGCATGTATATTCATATAACTAAAGGAAAACTTTCTATGTTCCCCCTACAACATAGAAGTTCTATCCTCTTACCATCCAGCCGTCTATTTTTTATCAAAAGAGCCACTCACCGTTTGATCTTAGATCCAACATCTCAAAGTATTTTATTTGTAGTTTTTTAATGCAAATTTTCTGAATATGAAATTTGGTACATACCATCTTCTCATTGGGGCACACCTATAAAAAAATATTAACAATAATTTTTTATTTTTTATCAAGAGAACCACTCACCGTTTGATCTTAGATCCAACATCTCAAAGTATTTTATTTTTAATTTTTTTAATACAAATTTTCTGAATATAAAATTTGATACGTACCATCTTCTCATTGGGGCACACCTATAAAAAAATATTAACAATAATTTTTTGATAAAAATAATGACCAAAATACCCCTTAAAACCTTCAGGGGTATTTTGTTGATTTTATTTTATTGAAAATATTTTTTTATATTTTTTATTGACACGATTTTAATAGAAGAATGGACGTTCAAAATTTAATGTCAAAATAGTTTATAGAAAAAATAAATAAACAAATAGTAAAAAGATGTCACATTGTGATTCGAGCAATCTTAACCCTTCATTAAAAAATAGACTATTTGAATAAAGAGGACGATTGAACTTCTATATTATAAAGAAAACATAAAAAGCTTTTCCTATAATTAATGGAAACAGTTTTTTCAAAGAAACCTGACACTCTTCACACCTGAAAACTGACAACCCCCAAGAAAGTACTACAAATTTTGAATAACGGAAGCACTTCCAAAGGAAAATTGATCCAAGGAACCCACTGTCGAGCATGTTTGTCGAAACATGGTCAAATTAATAAGAACCAACCAGACCATTAAGTCGTGCACGATTTCATTAACAAATTGTATGAGATACTGGAGCACCAGTTCTGTGAGTGGTGTGGCACTAAATAGAGAGATTCAAAAGAGAGACACTATAATCCTTGTGTGGCAATAAACAGCAATTCTTAGCCCAACCTTAAATCATTGTAGCATCCCACCGTCAAACTATAAGAGAAACTGTTGTAACAGTACAAATCCCTTGAAACAGAACTAGAACACTAGAGAGAGAGAGAGAAAGAGAGTTTCATCCATGTCCAGAGTTCCCCACCCCACCTTGTATAAAGTACAATGAGCTGTGACATTTAACATACATTCCTGGAACGAAGGACAGGGAGACCATTCCTCTCTCTCTCTCTCTCTCTCTCTCTCTCTACACTACTAACGTACGACGACACGACACGACCGTACCGTACCTCCTACCTACCTACCTACCCACCCTAACCCTAACCTAACCGTAACGTAACTAACT